CTGGTTGAAAGTTGACCATAACGATCATTCTCTAATTCATTATAGTTGCTGCCCACGAAAGACATTGGCAACGTTGGGAAATAGTCGTTTGTGTAAGAATCTTATGAATTTGAATTCGAATAAAACAATTTAAAAGATTGAATTTGAGAGCAAAATAAAGGAATAATGGATAGTTGTCCGATAAAATTGCAATGAATGACTTTGAATTCCACACAATATTCTAAAACAAAACCATCGTTGTTGATAAAGTTGAGAATTCGATTAAAAAGCATTTCTCGTCTTGCAGCAATTTCGATTTCTATGAAGAGAAATCTTCTCCCTCTTAACTTATAATTTTTCTTGTGTCTATTTTAGACTATCCATTACGTTCTCCATCCAGCACCAACCTTCATCCGAATGCTAGATGGCAACAAAATGGTATCACTGTGGCTGGAGGAAATCGACAAGGCAATGGAATCAATCAACTCTCAAATCCATGGGGTTTGTATGTTGATGATGATCAAACAATCTATGTTGCTGATCGAACGAATCATCGTATTGTGGAATGGAAACGAGGTGCAACAAGTGGCCAAGTGGTTGCCGGTGGAAATGGACAAGGAAGTGGAGATCATCAATTGCATAACCCAAGAGATGTGATTATCGACAAAGAGAGAGATCGTCTCATCATATGCGATTATTCGAATAGAAGAGTGGTTCGATGGCCTCGTCGAAATGGGACAACTGGAGAAACAATCATCTCCAACATCTATTGTATGGGTTTGACAATGGACGAGAATGGATCTCTCTATGTCACTGACTACGGAAGAGATGAAGTGAGACGATATCGAAGAGGAGAATCTCAAGGAACAGTGGTTGCAGGTGGCAATGGAAGTGGAAATCGTCTCGATCAACTCTCTTTCCCACGATACGTATTCGTCGATCCAGATCATTCAGTATACGTATCTGAATGGGACAATCATCGTGTGATGAAATGGATGGAAGGTGCAAAACAAGGCATTGTCGTGGCTGGTGGTCAAGGAAAAGGAAATGGTCTTACACAATTGTCATCTCCTCAAGGAGTCGTTGTCGATCAATTGGGCACTGTCTATGTGGCTGATGACTGGAATAATCGAATCATGCGTTGGCCTAAAGGAGCCACACAAGGAAGTGTCATTGTTGGTGGAAACGGTAGTGGAGAACAATTGAACCAACTCCATTGGCCCATCGGATTGTCATTCGATCGACACGGGAATCTCTATGTCGTCGATAACGGAGGTCACCGAATCCAAAAATTCGATGTCCGTTCAAATATATAAGTGTTGCTGCAATGTGTTTGTCTTCCCTAGAACGTCTAACGAAATAAACGAATGAATATCAATCACAACAAATAAATGTTTAATTTGATTTTATGCGATAATTGAAGTGAATATTGGTTCAGTGAGTCGTTCTAGTTGAATAAAGATAGAACCGCTCGTATATCATTTAATACGTAGACATCGCTTTGAATCCATTTTCTCATCGTTAGGATAGAGCGCACCAGAGCACCAACTATGCCTTGCATTATTCTCTTTATATGCTGGATCGATAGAGGAAGTTAAAGAACATGAGACAAAATATGTCGTTATCAAAATATTCCCTTCAAAATTTCACTTCAAAAAACCGCTGACACTTTGTGAGAAGGTGCTATGTGTCCAAAACATGGCTATAAAAGTTGCATAGATGTATTTCTTAAGTGTAATGTCTGACAGACGTTAAAATAATACTGCAGGCTCAATTAAAATTGCTCTTTGTGATAATGGCTGAAGAAGATTGAATCTTTTTTACAAAAAAGTTCATATGAAAAGTAGAATTCTCAGGGACTCTCAGAAATCAAGAAATGGGCTAAACAGCTTTTTTCAGAATTTCATCAAGAAGCAGTGCAGTCTTTTTCAGCGGTCCGTCATCCTAAAATTTCAATGTTCTA